CCATTATATCCATAATAATCCACCATTATTTGCAAAAAAAATTCTTTAAAAGTCAGACAAAATGATTTTCTCAATTTTTTTTCACATTTTGTCTCTCATAGTTGAGGTCTACCTATGATGTCAATTACAGGCCTCTCTCATCTTTTTAAGTGGGAGAACTTGCACAATTGGTGACTGACTAAATACTTATTTTCCCCACTGTAAATACTTATTTATACTTATTTTGTGTTTTTGTAATAATCATAGGGAAAGTATTACACCACCAATTATTTTATTACCCTTTAAATTGATTTCTTAAGTGCAGTGGTTCCCAAACTTTTCAACTTTTGACCCACAAAATAACAGTAGCAGAGACCTGTGCCCCCAATTATTTTTGGATGACAAACATTTGTATCAGGTCAACTAAACATGGGCATAGTAACAATATTTATTATTCTACATTTATACATTTTAGGTAACTAAGGCAAAAATGTAATTAATATGGAAAATCTTTTCAGGACCCCACCTTGATGTTTCAGGACCCCACTTTGGGTCCTGACCCCAACTTTGGGAAACACTGCTTTAGACAATGTGAAGGGCAGAAGGAACTGTCCAAGTTCCTGGAAGTGTTGAAATGTTTCAGGACCTTGGACAAGTAGGGGTCTCTGCAGAATGTGTTGTCCTGTGGGCGGAGACGTCCCAAATCGTCATTGGCGGAGGTCTTAATGTGGGCGGAGACGTCCCTGTTCGTGATTGGCGGAGGTCTTGATGTGGGCAGAGACGGTCCAAGAGACGTGATTGGTCGGATTGATGGTGGGGTAGGAGGTTGGAGGCAGCGGGGAGTAGTTTGGTCAAGTCGAGCAGGAAGTAACTTTTTTTTTAGATTAATTTTAGTCATAACTTGAGAAAGGAAAGTGTTAGCTGTACGAAATTTGAACATCTTACATGTGAAAGGATGTGTAACAATATGGTTTTGTTAAAACATCCCTAACCAGCCTGTAAAACGATGGCTAAAAATCAATATTTTTTTACAGGCTGGTTAGGGATGTTTTAACAAAACCAAATTGTTACACATCTTTTCACATGTCCGACGTTCAAATTTCGTACAGCTAACACTTTCCTTTCTCAAGTTATGACTAAAATTTATCTAAAAAAAGTTACTTCCTTCAAGACTCGGCCAAGCTACTCCCCGCTGTCTCCCCACCGTCAATCTGACCAATCACGTCTCTTGGGCCATCTCCGCCCACAGGACAAAACCTCCTGCAGAGACCCTTTACTCACATTGGACAGTTCCATCAGTCCTTCACACTGAAATGATTCAGGACTTTATTGTAAATTACAAACATTACAGTTCATACAACAGAACCATCCGTACCTGCTGCTCCAGAGTCATGACTGTATGAACTCGGAAGTTCCCACTTTCACAGGGGTCCGTGATGCCCACAGAGCCAGGCAGAAAGAGACCAGCAGCTAGCATCTGAAGGCAGCGCCTGTACACGTTTCAAAGCAAAAGTTGTTTTCTTTAATGAACTGTGAAGAAATGATGGCAGAGGAGTAAAAATAAAATAAAACAAACCTGTAGGCCACGTTCAGGGACAGGGGCTGCCTGGACGGGTTGTTCATCACCGCAGAGTGACCCTAAAACACAACAGACACCACGCTCAGCCTCGATACAGGACCAGTATTTACTGCTAAACACTTTATTTTTTAATAAACGTTGGCCCTTACCAGCAGGTCCAGAATCCATGGAGTCAGAGGTTCAAAACCAGAGAAGCGCAGTCTGAGGTCCTTCAGAAGTCGGATCAGCACTTTGACTCTGAGGATTAACATGAGATTAGTTCAGGTGAGTGGTCATGTGACCCGTGAATCAATGAAACAGCAGCTATGTGAGTGGAAACGTCCTCACGTTGACTGAGACGCATTCTCCTCAAACCAGCGGGCGTGACGGATGGCAGCCAGAGCGCTCTGCAGCACCTTAATGTCCACTGGAAAAACAAGGAGAGAATTCAGCTGACCTTTCCTGTCGGGAATCAAAACGTTCTTTGTACACTCCTTCAAAACCAAACCTCTACTTCGACTGACTCGAATGCTCTAATCTAGAACTATTACCAGTGGTGGGCACCAGTCCGCTGAAGCGCAAATCTGCTAATTGCGGACCTAAATATTTCATTTGCGATTTAGCGGTCTTACTAATTTTTATAATTCATAAGCAGATTTGTGCTTTCTAAAATTAAAATGCAGTACCGCTAATAACTACTTATCTACCAGTCGTTATTATCTTGAACAGCAGAAGGTATGACTGTCAATGAATCAC